TACACACACGTATAGGACGAAAGGATCTATAGAAGGATAACTAGATCGAAAGGCGAGACAAGATGGAAAATCTTGGAATTCAAACTAACGCAGTTTCGCGCCGTTTCTTCGTATTATTGCTCCGACAAATTGTTACAATTTTATAGATACTTTCCAAGTATTCGCGCTAGCTACGTGGATCCATCACGTAATTTTCAATCGAGATTGTTTCCAATAAGAAAAATTGTTCCAAGAAGCAAGAGAAATTTTTGCGGCGCGCATAATGCGCGCTTTCAATCGCGCGAATCGCACGAATCGAATTTCGTGTTCCCGCGATTCTGGGAAATCGTATCGCGGTATCTTTTTCTCACTTATCCAGATCGTGCACATAAATAAATAAACGTGAAAAGCGAGATCCCGCTAAACGTTCGCACCTTATTATGGACGGATCTTATTTTTGCCGAAGCGAAAACAAGTAACAATTTCCCGGACAATCGATCGGGGATCGATCGTTTATTTGAACTGGTACGCGGTGTTATTCTCACTTCAAACTCCACGCGCATAAAATACGCGATTTTGATACGCGCTTTTCTTGGCAACGCGGAATATTTCTTTCCCGCGCGCGTGTCCGTGACATTATGATAAGCAGATGGAAACCATTTCTTGGAATTGTTTTTATCTTCGCTCGCGCGATTACGAATTCGATTAAAAATTCAATTTTGACAAATTTTTTTCACAAATCGCCATAAATGTACAAATTTCTAACTTTTCCATCGCGTCCTCTCTCTCTCTCTCTCTCTCTCTCGAAAAATTGAGAAATTTCACGGAGATAAACCGCTCGATCCGTTCTTTCGAAGTACGATTGAAATATCGATCGCGAAAGCAAGTGGATAATTTGGCAAACTTTAGTTGGACGGAAAAAGGGGGGACAAGGGAGGAATAATTGGATCGAATCGGCCACGTGTCCATGGTGTCCGCGGGTCGGTGGACGAACTGGTCGATTCTGTAACGGCGCGCAAAGTGCAGCGGCAGCAGGTGTCCGCCGCAATCACGGCAAATGCGCATTCCTGCGAGCCAATTTACTAGCTTTCTCGAACTCGCCACTCGGTCGTGCTCGTAACAGGGATCATTTGCATACTGCGGCAATGCTGCCCCGCGGAGACGAGCCGGCGGCGGCGGCGGCGGCCACAATGAGACCGTTTGGATCGCTCTCACGTACCACCGCTGTCCTTTCCTTCGAATTTCGATATCGCGCGAAAAACGCGCGACCAGCATGCGAATCGAATCGCCGCGAATCCACCGCCGCGCGAAAAATCCACGCCTCGACCTCTCCTTTCTTTCCCTTCTTTCTTCTTTCTTTTTCTTCCCCTCCCTCCCCTCTCCTTTTCTCCCGCGTTTCTCGCGCCTCCCCCTTCTCCGCGCCTCATTGTTTCCAACCAAGTCGAGAATGCGTTTCCCGCTTTATCGCGCACCACCTGTGCAACCGCTCGCCCATTGCTCGGCCATTTCTATGGCACGCGCGCGGATTGCGGATGAGACGATCGAAAATGATTGCCTCCGACTTCGATTCTTCGAGCGATTTTGTTAATTTTCAAGATAAAGTCGGAGATGGAAGATATATTATTTTATAAGGAAACGATTGAAAGTTCTTCTAACGCTTCGTCTTTTTTAATCGCTGATTCGAAGTTCGATGTTTCGTTTATCTTTTCGAATAATCGAAACGAAAAGGTTCGAGTTTTCTCTTTTCCTCCTCGAATCCTTGGAGGATTAAACTCGAGATCGAATCGCGACGGAATTATACGATCTTTGGTGANNNTTTTTTTTTTTTTTTTTTTTTTTTTTTTTTTTTACATTTGTAATCGATACGACACTCGTGCGGTAACTTTTAATCAAGTGTGTGCACCGACGCTTTTTGCTATTCAGCTATTTCTATTTAAATGAAGGTCAAACAGGTAATTTGTACAAGGCGTGTGAACTATGATAATGCGATAGCCTACTCAACCGAGCCAATAATGCGATACGGAAAAGCAAGTAACGCGAAGAGTTCGCATTGAATGCAAATTGTCGTGAATTATGACACGCGTTCGTGGAAATTTCTTTTCAAACAAGTTGTAACAAAATTATATTATAGTCTATACTCGTTTCTTAATTAGATTGCCAGCATTTACATTTAACGCGAATTATTCCCTCGTTCGATTCGTTCTATTCGCGAATTAACAAATACTTCGATAATAATACTTTCGATTAGTTTCGACGATTCATAATCTTTTCTCTCTTTCTCTCTGAAAAGTTCGTTTTGAAAAGAAAAGAATAAGAGAAGGGAACGTCGATCGAGACGAAATTTTCTCGAGAAAAATCTCGTTGTTGACATGCTTAATTCCTACTCGATATCCAGCTCGACTTGGACTGCGCAACTGGAAACCGTGTTTTCTGCGATTTTTCTTAAGTAACATCGATCGCGATCCGTCACGCGAATGTCTCAATTCAGAAGCGTGTAGCGGAGGATGAAAAATACGAGCCACAGGTATCGAGTACACACCGTACTATTTATAGGTATCTACTGTTTCTCTGTTTCAACCAATACCTGTTAAATAAATCATTGGCCGGAATGATGCCTCGTTTGTAACGTAAACTTGTCTAATAACAGTCTGATGAATTGCTTTGTAGAAAGAGAGGAAAAAAAAAAATGCATAGATGTTTATCCGTCTGAGAATTGCCGCCTGACCAGTTTATTAATCATTGTTGTTTTATTATCGTTCTCGCATTGTCTCGCATCGCAGATGCTTATTCCCACGTAAACCCCTTGCAAACCAGAAGAATATAATTCCTCGTAATAAATACAATAATAATTCGACACTCCAACAATGTACAACTCTTGTAAAATAAAATTTCTTTAAATGTCGTGTCGTACCGATCAAAAAATCTCCTTTGATTAAAAAAAAACAGAAGAGTATAATTCCTCGTAATAAATACAATAATAATTCGACACTCCAACAATGTACAGCTCTTGTAAAATAAAATTTCTTTAAATATCGTGTCGTATCGTTCGAAAAATTCTCTTTGATTAAAAAAAAAAAACAGAAGAGTATAATTCCTCGTAATAAATACAAGGATAATAAATATTCCAACAATGTACATCTCTTGTAAAATAAAATTTCTTTAAATATCGTATCGTATCGTTCGAAAAATTCTCTTTGATTAAAAAAAAAACAGAAGAGTATAATTCCTCGTAATAAATACAAGGATAATAAATATTCCAACAATGTACATCTCTTGTAAAATAAAATTTCTTTAAATATCGTATCGTATCGTTCGAAAAATTCTCTTTGATTAAAAAAAAAACAGAAGAGTATAATTCCTCGTAATAAATACAAGGATAATAAATATTCCAACAATGTACATCTCTTGTAAAATAAAATTTCTTTAAATATCGTATCGTATCGTTCGAAAAATTCTCTTTGATTAAAAAAAAAACAGAAAAGTATAATTCCTCGTAATAAATACAATAATAATTAATAATAAATATTCCAATAATATACGCTTCTTCTGAAATAAAATTTCTTTAATTGTCGTATCAAAAATTCTCGTTCATTAAAAAAAAAAAAACTAGAAGAAATATAATTCTTCGTAATAAATACAACAATAATTCGATAATAAATATTCCAATAATATACGCTTCTTCTGAAATAAAATTTCTTTAATTGTCGTGTCGTTAAAAAATTCTCGTTCGCTAAAAAAAGAAAAAAATCTCCAGATTTTTCTTTTTCTTATCGAAAAAATATGTGCCACCCGACAAGAGCAGATTTACACGGTTCTAAATTAACGGCCCTAAATTAAATACCGACACAATAACGGTGCGGTGTTATTCGCCGTTCAAGGTGCAAATTTCCCGGTTTGAAAATACGATCCCATACTTTCACGTTGGCCTCCCCGTTCCAATGCCTGGATATCGCCTATCGCGCTCCATGGAAATAATATTCTTGACATTAATATGACCAATACGCGGCTGAGCCACGGTATTGCGACAGTTCATGCTAATGCATGTAAAACGCCTCTATTTTTGTCACACACCGCGCGACTGTTAAAGGGAGAGAAGTGTAATTATTACCGCATGAATAATTAAAGCGGTTCCCGATAATTATGATAAACAAGTGTCATAACTTCTTCCAAGTTTCGATTACGTTACGAAATGAAACGTTACGCGTCGTGTCCACCAACGATCGAGATATATATATATATATATATAAATATATAACAACCACGCGCCTTTTAACGCGTCCATCCCTTTTTCTACGTTCACCCGATTTCTCAGAGAAAGAGAGAGAGAGAGAGAGAGAATCTCCTCTCGTTCGGATTCACGATTTAATCAAGAACAATCGATCGATCGACGTGCAGGGAGAACCGATTAAACGCGCGAAACGTTGGAACGGCGACTTAATTGCAGGGCCAACGGTGTTGGGAAACCGACTGAGCTGTCGCCTATATATCGGCCAAGTGAACGGCTGCTCTCCCCTCGATTCGAGAGAGAGACAGAGAGAGAGAAAGAGAGAACGAACCAACACAACTCGAGATTCTTAAATAGTTAATATTCCTGAAGGTTGCCTATTAATAATACCAAGTGGCAGCCCATGCTGAGTAAACACGCAATCGTTCCCCCCTCGTGCAACACGCTCCACTTGTGGAATCGAATCGGGGGTAATTGGGTATCAAGCCCGATTCATACATTCTGAAACGCGAATACTTCCATTCCATTCCATTGGATATCGATCGAGACGAGTCTCTGTCTCGATCAGATTTCTTTCTAAAAATCTATTTCTTTCCAGAGACGAAATAGGTTTGAAAATGAATTTAGAGAATTCGATGACAAACAGCAGGAATCTCGATCGACTTAAGTTAATTCGGAGGCAATAATCGGAGATCGATTTTCGATTCAAAGGAAACAAAGGGTTACAATATCTAGCTATCTCGAGAAATAAGATTCGATTTCGACTCGAGATCCAATTGATCGTTGTGAATTTCAGTGCACGAGATGAGACCGGAAGACATCGGGATCCTCGCGTTCAGAGGCGATCCCGACAAGCAACCATTCATGGTTGGTTACTTCAAGAGTTCCGGCATCAGAGAGTCGAAGGTGCGACAGAAACGGGATGCCAGGAGAAGAAAGAAGAGCGAGTCATCGAGCCTGGATTATCGGAACAATCCGTACACCGGTAAGTCCGTGAATTTTGTTAACTTGGCGCATCGAAACGAAGGAGACTCGTTTTTCATTCTCTCAACCGGTGCTGTATCGCGAAGAGAAAGGAGAGAATATATTTATATATGCAGGATACGCGTGCGCGTTACAAGTAAGATTAATTTTATCCGATCTTTTTCCGATTTTTGTTTCGATCATTCAAAATTGAACGATTAGACGCGTTTCTCTCTCAAGAAAAGATATATAAGATATATATAGGACGTTTTAACGGGAACTGTGCTTTGTCGTTTTCAAAAAAATTGAAAGATTAAAAGAGAGCATCATGTTGTTGTCCAGATCCCGGTACGCAGTACAACTCGAGGACCTGCAAAATCCAAACGTTGTACGTGAGCTTCAGGGATCTGAAGTGGCAGGTAAGGCGGCCTTACTTTACGGGCTCGAAACGGGGCTCCAGCCTCTCTGGAGTGGCTCGCTTGATCCGGCGACCGATGAATTATTTATTTTTCCAGGACTGGATCATAGCACCGGACGGATACGACGCATATTATTGCAGCGGGGAATGCAATTTCCCTTTGAACGCCCATATGAACGCGACCAATCACGCGATCGTCCAAACGTTGGTGCACCTGGTCAGCCCTGGTAAGGTACCAAAGCCTTGCTGCGCCCCTACCAAGCTCTCGCCGATCTCAGTGCTGTATTTCCTCGACGAAAGCAACGTTATACTGAAGAAGTACAAAAACATGGTCGTGAAGAGCTGCGGTTGCCATTGATCGGCCGGGATTACAGGCACGTGTGCACGAGTTTCCAGCTGAACCGCGAATCTCAGCGACACCGCGCACCTCAATCTCCACGGTAGAATCGGCCGACTGAATCCGCGCAATCCATGTATTTGCCGAT